ACACCCCTAGGAATCTAGTATAAACAGGTACAAGAGCTACTAAAGATACGTCATGTAAATAGAATAATATCATGACACAACTCCCACCATAAGGAAGGAAAGAAGAAGCTGTTGGAGATTGTCTTCATCTTCTCTGATGAAACATCACTGGCCCTGCAACCAGACTATGCTAAATGGCATTGCAAGAGTAGTATCAATACAAACAACATGTACTGGCAGGCATAATGGGTCAACCCGATACCGACCACCTAATATAAATAAATCAACCAGAAGAAACATGTTATAAAGAAGATAACCTAGCTAACTTTTGCATCCACAGTCTGACCACCGTCTTTGTCTTAACCACAACTAGGTATCAACGCAATGTTAGCCTTTTTTTGCATCACTACCAACTCTAATTTAGATTAAGGCCTAACCTTTCTATCAAAAGAGTTTTCGAAACACACATCGCCCCGAACCCAACCAACCAACCTACTGTATGCCTACGATTCTTCACCATAATAATCAGGCCCTTAACCATATAGTATACCATCATAAGGCTCACTAACCACTCTAGAACTAACCCCCCTTCCCAAGGTAGATCCCAGTCATTCATCACCATTTCCACTACTCTACCTCTTACTCTCACACCTCATACCTGGGATACATAACACATTTAACAGCCATAATATATCAACATAAATAACATCATCACAGTCCCGGTGTCAACTCCCCTACTTATCTAACTCCATTGGATTTTTGAGAAGAGAGGTGTCGTGGTGGTCCCCCTCGGACCGTCCAAAACAAGACTATGGAGTATAGCCAAGTGGTAAGGCATCGGTTTTTGGTGCTGGTATGAAAAGGTTTGAATCCTTTTACTCCAGATTATGCACACCTGATTGGATCCTTCAAGAACGAGCTGATGGCTACAGAGGAAGCACCTGACTGATTGAAACTCAAAGGAATTGACGGGGGCCTGCACAGGCGGTGGAGCATGTGGTTTAGTTCGATACAATGCGTCAAACCTTACAAGCCCTTGACATATGAACAAGTAAACCCGTCCTTAACGGGATGGTACTTACTTTCATACAGGTGCTTCATGGCTGTCGTCAGCTCATGTCGTGAGATGTTTGGTCAAGTCCTATAACGTTCGAAACCCTTATTTTGTGTTGCTGAGACATGCCCCTAAGGAGAAAGTCTTTGCAACCGAAGTGAGCCATGTCGAACTAGAATGCCCTTAATTGAGGAAGTGAAAAATCCTTTGATTGTTCTTCGCAGACCGGCCATGTGATCTCCCTTCCCAGGTCTTATTGCCGAACCGGTTCTCTTTCTCCCATCTGATATTTTCATTACAATTATAGCCTCAAAGTAGGCAATGAATTGCGGACAACTTGCGGTTGTAGAGGACCCTGAACAAGAAGAGGCAAAGATGCCAGATCTGGAAACTACTGAACCGGAAGAGATTGCTCATGATGATTTTATGGGTAACAATGCCGAGGAGGGTGTAGTCAAATAGACAACTCCTGAGGAGAGTGATTTGGCTCATAGAAGCGAGGATCTGGAAGAGAGGGTCAAGTATGTCATTGACTGAGGGGGACTTGTTCTGTGATAAACAAATGACTTCAAACCTCAGGGCATCCAAAAGAGGTGAACCTAAGAAGAGTGAACATCATGCTACTTAGACTATAGGCTTAACACATTCAAGTCGAACCTCAGTTTTCATAGTTCGAAAGAGAAGGGCCTACTTTAAAGGGAGAATAGTGGAGTTGTTGTACAACCTAAGGTATTTTCCTACAGAGAAAGCGGCTAACTACCTGTGAATTCTGACCTAGACCTCTCTATTGCAATTATAAGCTTCTTGATGTACTTTATCATATAAAGGCCAAAGAAAAAGAACTTCAGAGTTGTCATTTCCCCTTTCTTATTACTTCAGACAATGCTTCCGGAGCTAGACGGAAACAACCTTCTACCTTCAAATCTTTTCAAAAGCATTCGCTACCAGTGGTCATAATTTTTTCCCATTCAAATATTTTTTTTTAAAAAACATCTACCTCGAGCACACGCAATGGCGGCTCATTAACTCTACATGGGGTGTAGGTACATATTATTCGTTGGATAATTTGTCCGGGTTTTACCAGACAATATAAAGGAATCTTCGTTTCTACTTTTTTCAAGGAGAATCTAAAGGGAATGTGATCCCCTCTATTGTAATGAAATAATTGAAGTTCATTTATTCTTTTCAGGAGAGTTTTTCCAAAATCCCTCTTTGCCTCATCTAAGGCCAAGGGGGAAATAAAGTTGTCAAACCTTTCCAACTCATTTCTTTGGTTCAACAATTTCAACACCGCGCTCCTTCTCCAGGGTGGCAGATGGGTCTAGAGAACCGAACTGTCACACGATTTCAATCTGGTTAGAAAAAATTCTCATGAGAAATTCACGTATCACTTGAGTAGTAGTACAAAACCTTAAGAAAAGGCGATCTACTAGTCGAAAAAAGGAGGATCCATTGAAGAGTTTATGTTGTCTCGGTAGGGAATAGTCCAATCTTTTCCAGCACCGGTTCTAAGGTTACTTAGTACCTAGGTCGTGAGTACTGATCTTAGTAGCCTTTATTCCTATCCCACGTAAGCTAACCGCGCACGGGCCGGGCTTATAGCGCTTGAAACTCATCACTACCTCGTAAGGGCGTTGCGACCATAGTATGTTAAACAAAAGTGCCGATTTCTCTGTAGTGTTGTCACATAGCTGCTCGCCTAGAAGAGCAATTCACTCTTCTTCTTGTCAATTTGAATTGAATCAAAGCTCTCGTTCAAACTTCATATACGAGAACTCTAAACAAGAACTCGAGACTTGAAATGAATCCAAGTGGAGGTTCTTTCTCAGGGTATAAGGAATAGCACGCAAAAGACAACCTCTTTCTTTCTAAACTAAGAGAATCGTGGGACATCAAAAGCGGTAAATTGATTGTTGGTTTTTATTCCTCACTCTCATATAGGTTAACTTGGTTCGTTCCATTCACAGGGAAGGATCCACTGGAAAGACTGGAGTAGTATCTTCATTAGCCGGAAGGAATTAGTCTGCACTAGCATCATTTGAAGAATGTACAAGAAAAGGGTTACTGTTTAGGATAGATGGATGTGGCCCAATGGCTAAAGCTCTTCCAGCTTCTTGTAGACTGAACTCTCTGCTCTTTAGGCTTCAATTTTTTTTTGGGCAGGGGATGGTGTAATTTACTAGTGGCAATGATATTCTTAAATGACTAGATTCTCCAGGAACGCTAGCTAAGCTAATCGTCTTAGTTCCCTTTAATTAAATCAATAAGATTTTTGATTGATTCAGGGCGCCGCCCCTTTTTAGAATAAGAAGCCATTGAGGGGGGCCTCGGCTCGGGAAGGGGAGAGGGGCCGAGTAGTCAAAAACCGCAGACTGTAAATCTATTGAAGTTTTTCTACGTAGGTTCAAATCCTGCCTCTCACACTTGTTTGTTGTAGACTTCAGAGAAGAGAAAAGAGGCATTCAGCAGCGTAGGAAGGCCAAAGAATGAAGAGAAAGAAAGGAGAAGAGAACTTAGTATTTTGGTAACTCTTTAGAAGTCATCTTTAACCTTGAATGCTATTAACAGATTCTACAGAAATAGTCCCTGACCTAATTCATGATAGGCCCACCAACTTTATGGCAAAATGCCTATTGTTAAAAACCACCGACATGTCAAGATCGAAATTTCAATTGGTTCCTGGTCCTCTTATGGCACGATTTAGTCAGTTATTCTCGCAGTTCAGATAAGATTCAGACCGGGTTGGGTTAGGTCTTTGAAAGCATAGTTCTTGCCTCCCTACCCCCATTAATAACTTTCAGACTTCTAGTTTTAGTAACTTTCGGATATTCAGTTCTCTCGTATCCATTATTACACATGATGAACATGATCACTCCCAGTTCGTTGAATTTTTTAGTTATGGCACAGGAAATCATATTCATTCAGAGATAATCAGTCAATAATAGTCCTCTCATGGAACCCATGCCCAATATGTTAGTGTGTCGCAACATGACACCTGATCCATTCAACCACAATCACAAACACAATTAGCACCACAATCAATCTTTTACACACTTGGATCGTACAATCAGGTAACAATTATTTCATTATATTCATTTCATCTTTCCTTATTCACATACATGCATGAAGACAACGAAGTAGTTAACATGCATATATCACACTAATGGGAAATCAAACCGTCACCTATCCCTAAATTCACAGGATAAGTTAACCCACATGGTACACACTAGTTCAACCACAGGACCACACTTACTATCCTCCCAACTTCATACCCAAAGACCTGAAAATGAAATCTGAATTGGTTGTTGGATATTGTGTATAATTGCAACTTAATTTTCTGTCTGTCTCTTTTTTATAAGTTCCTAAAGATAAAGATTTCCATGGATAACCAAATAAGTTCAAGAAAAGAAACAAAAAGTGACTTTTTTCCTTTTGGTTTGGAAATAAGTGAACAACTAATTTGTGTAACACTCAAATATAGAGGTTATGACTCTCTAGTGATGCAAAGTATGATGACTTTAGGATTGTAAATACTTAAGTAGAATGTTACAATTTGTTTTCTAGGATTGTAAATTATTACTTAATTTAATGTTTAACAAATTCAAATTTTGTGATCTTTGTGTAGATGGATCATAGTTGGATGTATAATATGACTAATTTTGGTCAAATGGGGTTGAGGCCTGAATTTGTAGAAGGTGTCGCTGGTTTTGTGGACTATGCAAATACACTAGAACCTTTTTAACATAATGGCTTGGTTAAGTGTCCTTATAACAAATGTCAATATATGAATTATGAAAAACCAAATGTTGTTGAGCTTCATCTCTATCGAAATGGGTTTAAAAAAGAATACACATTGTGGACTAGTCATGGAGAAATTGATAATAGTTTTGTTGTATTTCAACACTATGTTGTTGGTGAAACTAGTACTAAGGTGAAATCTAATACACAAAATTATAGAATGAACAAAATGGTTCAGGATGCGTATGGGGTGCATTCTGATTTTGAATTTGGTAATAATGTTGAAGAAGCTCCCAATGCTGAATGTAGAATTTTCTTTGAACAATTGGAAACTGCTAGTCGGCCTTTATATGAGGGGAGTCCTCACTCCCAGTTGTTTATTGCTCTTAGGTTATTAAGTATCAAATCAGATTGGAATGTTTCTCAAGGGGAAATGGACTCTGTTATTGACCTTATCCATGATTTAGTTGACGCAAAACTAGAGATACATGATAATTTCTACAAGGCAAAGAGGTTGGTGTCAAAATTAGGACTGTCATCGATGAGAATCCATTGTTATGAAAATGGTTGCATGTTATACTGTAAGGATGATATTGATCTAGAATGGTGTAAGTTTTGTGGAAAATCTAGGTATAAGCTTGGTCCTAATGGGAAGAAAGTAGTTGTTAAGGCGATGCATTACTTACCTCTTATACCAAGGTTAAAGAGGTTGTATGCATCAAATAGCTCTGCTCCTTATATGAGATGGCACCATGAAAATAGAAGACCACCTGGTATTATGTGTCATCCATCCGATAGAGAGGCTTGGAAGCATTTTGATAGAACTTATCCCGATTTCGCAGCAGAACCACGAAATATTAGATTGGGTTTATGTTCAAATGGATTCACTCCACATTCTATTTCTGCTGCACCTTATTCTTGTTGGCCTGTATTTTTAACACCATATAATCTTCCACCTGAGATGTGTAATACCAGTCAATATATATTTCTGAATTTTGTCATTCCTAGCCCCCGCAATCCAAAATTCTTGATTGATGTGTACTTGCAACCTTTGATAAATGAATTGAAACAATTGTGGATTCAAGAGGTTGAAACATTTGATGTGTCTCTTAAGCAAAATTTTAAATTGCGGGCTTCCTTAATGTGGACTATTAATGATTTTCCTGCGTATGGAATGTTGTCAGGGTGGATGACAGCTGGAAAGTTAGCTTGTCCTTACTATATGGAAAATACTAAATCATTCACTTTAAAGCATGGTCGGAAAAACTCTTGGTTTGACTATCATCGTCCGTTCTTGCCAATGGATCATGAATTTAGGAATATGAAAAATGCATTAAAAAAGAATACTGTTGAAAGAGGATGACCACCTCCAATATTGACCGGAGAACAAGTTTGGGAGAGGGTTCAACACCTTCCAAAGGTTACAGAAGAACAACCGTACAAATTTGATGGGTATGGTGTTGCTCATAATTGGACAAAACAGAGTATATTTTGGCAGTTACCATATTGGAAGGATAATCTTCTTCGACATAATCTTGATGTCATGCATATCGAAAAAAATTACTTTGATAATTTATTTAATACAGTAATGGATATCACTGGCAAGACAAAAGATAATGTTAAAGCTAGAATGGACTTACCAGAATACTGTAGGCGAAAAGAGTTATGGTTGCAGGAGAAACAAAACAACAAGTTCTTCAAGCCTAAGGCTAGTTATTCATTTACAATGGATCAAAAACGTAAAATATGTGAATGGGTCGAGCAACTTAAGATGCCTGATGGACATGCTTCAAATTTGGGGAAACGTGTCGATATGGAACATGGAAAGTTACATGGTATGAAAAGTCATGATTTTCACGTCTTCATGGAAACATTACTCCCCATTGCATTTAGTGGCTTGCCTAATAGAATTTGGAAACCTATGACTGAAATCAGTTTGTTCTTCAAAGACTTGTGTTCTAATACTTTGAGAGAAGACAACCTAGTTCAGATGGAACGAAATATTCCTATAATTACAAATAAGCTCGAGAAAATTCTTCCACTTGGATTTTGGGATGTTATGGAGCATCTTCATGTGCATCTAGTGCATGAAGCTCGTCTCGAAAGCCCGGTTCAATATAGATGGATGTATCCATATGAGAGGTAAGTGTTTAACTCTTAATATTTTTCTATTTAAAAATATTTTGTTAAAATTAATCATAATATAATATTATGTAGAACTATTGGCAAGTCTAAACGGGGTATGAAGCAAAAACATAGACTTGAAGGCGCAATGGTTGAAGCCTATCTTGCTAGGGAAACAACTCATTTTGGTTCTTATCACTTTGATATTGATGTGCCATGCTTGCGAAATAGACCCAATCGTCATGTCGATGGTGGTGAGTCTAATCCTTTTGCAAAGCCACTATCAATCTTCAATCAACCAGGCAAAGGTTCAAAAAAACGTACAAGGAGGGATCTTAATGCAATGGAGTTTAAGTCTACATTGACACATGTCTTGTTGAATTTCCCACAAGTTAAACCATTTCTTGAGTAAGTTGTTATTAGTTTGCACTAAATACGTAATTACAAGGCAAAATGACTAACTCAATATTCATCCTCTTTGACAGCTACTTCGTGCATTTATATGGCAATAATAAAGTATTTGAGTGTTTTTCAACATGGTTTAAAAAATATGTAAGTCTTATAATATTTTCATAATGCTATAATTATTTTAAAGATTTATATATATTTGATGATAATTTCCTACTTCTCAAATATTTATAGGTTTATGACACAAATAATGGTCAATTCAACCAATTTTTGAAGGATCTATCTTGGGGACCCATTAAGATTTATTCAATGGACAAGTATTTTGTAAATGGTTTTAAATTCAATACTGAAGAATGGTCCAAACATAAAAAAACTAACAATAGTGGAGTTTGGGTGAAAGGTGGTGATGGAAATCAGGATGGAGTTGATTATTAGGGAGTACTAAAGGAGATTTTAGAAATGGAGTACTCTGGTTGGCCAGAAAAAAATATTATATTGTTTCGATGTAAGTGGTTTGATCCAACCCCCAAAAGAGGTACGAGAGAAATCAAACAATATAATATCATCGAAATAAGACACACAAGAGAGTATGGGGCATATGATCCTTTCATCATTGCGCAAAATGTTAAACAAGTGTACTATGCTCCTTATCCCTTGCGTCCAGATAAATCAGATTGGTGGGTGGTAATTAAAACCAAACCCATGGGGTGTGTAGAAGTTGAAAATGTTTTGGATGTTGCATACCAGGATGACGACATGTCAAGTGTTCACCATACAGTGGATGCTGAGTTGGAAAATGATTTAGAGCATCCTGAACACATATTAGAAGAGGTTGAGATAGAAGAACTAACAGATGAATGGGAGAATGAATCAATAGATGAAGAAGAATGGACAGAAGAGGAAAAATGGTTAGAAGAAGAGAATGAGGATGAGGGGGAATAGCAATTACTATGTTGAATTTTTTATATTTAGATTTTCATACAACTTTATTTTCTTGAACTTCATTTTAATTACATTCAATATAATTTGACTTGTGGTTTATCTTCACCAATTGTCTGTTTTCCTTTTGAGTTGCAATTTGACAAGTCCATGTTGATATCTTCTTAGGAGTGGAGGAAAATCATATATATGGTAATTTTATATTGTCTGTAGCATAAATCTTGAAACAGAGATGCATTAAACTCAAATTTGTCATAATCTGATAATACAACTAGATGATCATAAATATCTCTTGCATTATACAATCTGACCTACTGATTTAAGAGGCCAGAGATTCAGTTCATTGATCAATTGTCTGATCCACGTACATTTCGAAAATCTAGTTATACTATTATATTGATAAATCTACTGATGTTGTGTTTTCGAGCACATTTTATGTTGTAAAGATCCTTTTCTAGATTCCCTAAAGCACACCAATTTGAAGTGTTTAATCTGGTGGAATTTAAAGTGCAGTATGACTGTCATGCTATTCTTCTGAAGAAACATGAACCAGAAAATATTTGATGTATAGTTGTCTCTATATCATGCTTACTGACTTGAAATGCTTTCGTTACTTAGATGGCAGGTGGTGGGAAGAATAAAGCTATTGATAATGCCCCCAAAAAGAAGAAGAAAAAAGATAGCATGATTAGTAGGCGGTCGACAGGGATAAATATCAGATCAGACTCTACACCATCTCTCCCACCACGAGACACTCTGGTACATTGCAATTCTAGGCAGACCGGGTCTCATATTCAGTTGCCTCCACAGATTCATCTTCCATCGACCTATATGCATCCACCATTGGAATATACTCAGCAGCCCCCCAGGCGCCTGTGATGATGCCCACATCAGGATATGCTACCCCACATGGATACACTCATTTGCCTCCTGAGTCTCAGCGACCGACGTCTAGTGTCTCTCGCACAGTTAATCACACCCCTACAGACTCACAACCTTCATCAACATCTATTTCAAATCTTCGGATGTCTAGTCTTCACATTCGAGGCAGCAGTCCTGACACTCCTATCACAAATCAATCAGCCACACATGATCAGGTCCATACACAAGTTGGCGTGAGGGATATTTTTAGTTTATGATTATCTCTTCATTGTCTTAGTTTTAACCTATACGTGTTTAAACTTTTATTACTGTTTTAATCCAGATGATGCTGTGAGGATCATTTCTCGGACCATCAAAGATCTTTATAGAGGTTCATTTTCGAGTTGGGGCAAGATGCCAGCTGATCTCAGGAGACAAAATTTTTTTGGAGTTTAGGGTATATCAAAATTTATTGCTTTAACTCTATTTAAATACTTGTCTTCAATAATGTTTATTAATAATAAACAATGTATCTTGTAATTGCAGAAAAAGTGTGCTTGGTGTCCGGAACATGAGACTCAAATTTGTGCGAACTTTCACAAGAAAGCTGGGCGTCTACTTGCCAGTTTGTTTCTGAAAGCTCGTAAAAAAGATAAGAAGCCTCAATGGATTCTATCTCAGGATTGGGAAAAGTTAGTTGAACATTGGGAGACGGATGCAAGGTTCAAGCAGATGAGCGAGATCGGCAAGAAGGCCAGATCATCTACTAAGGGTGGTTCTCTACACACAAGCGGGGCACAAAGTCAAGGAAATGTGAGGAGAAAACTGGTATGTGTCATAGTCAATCTTCTTCCTTCTTAAATTGGCTAACCAGTAGCTACAATATCGATCTTTTCTAAATCTTAACACTTCGTCTTTCTTTAACATAGCAAATTACTCCTCAACCTTAAAATATCCAGCTCTAATAAACTTGAACAAAATGACATCACTCATATAAATCTTTCATTAGTGGCACTCTCCAGATGGATATTTTTGAGGCAAATGTGTTGTTGTTGTTGTTGTTCCAGTAGTAAAGGTCTGATTTTTAATAGCTTCTTGAACAATAAATTTAAGTTCTTCAAGTGCCTTTCCCTCGTAATCATATAAATCTGAAACTTTATTGCTTTCTTATTAAAATGAAATCAAAGATGGAGGGATAATTTCCATTTCAACGAGTTTAAATTTGTTTAGTAGCTTCTTTCTCAACAAGAGTAAGAGACACATGTTGACCTTCAAGAAGAATTGTTGGTTCAGATGGAGGTTCAGTAAAAGGACCCTCTTTTTAACTATAGTAACAATAGAGTGATGCTCCTCCACATCTTCTACTAGGATGGTGGGTATGGAAAATGAAGCACACTTTAACTAATGAAAGTTAAAATTCATTTTTCAGAGAAATGAGAGAATGTGGGTGTCAATGAAGTGTTCAAATCTGAAGATTTTTTAGTGAATTTCACCCGCTCTATTAGTTTTTTAACGGTCTTAACTAATGGATAGAATTTTTAATTTTTATATATTTTAAGGATGTTATCTATTAACCATGAGAGTAAAAGGATGTACTTTAAGTTTAGTATATAGTTCAATGATGATTTTAGCCAAAAACTCATCATTTTTCTTAATTCATATACATTGTAGGTATTAATATTCAATTACTATTGATTATAACTTAATTAGTTTCATTTGTAGGAAAAGGAACTAGGGCGGTCTGTAACTCAGGCTGAAGCATTCAAGGCTACACACACAAGGAAGAAGAAAAATCCTGGAGATCCAGACGTTTGGGTTGAGCCACGAGCTCAACTGACCTATGTAAGCCTCTAATTTGAAATAATAATCACTTTATTTTCTAAATTTATATTCTAACATTCTTACCGTTCAATTCAGAATCAATATCTTCAAGCCTTGGAGGATTTCTGCCAGACTCTACCAGAAGATAACCAAGGCATGTCACTTATCCAAGAGCAGGCTGAGAGAAATTGGCTAGACTTGGTTGGTGGTCCGAGTAGATATGGATATGCTTATGGCATGCCGCAACAGGACTTTCGTGAATTATCATTCTGAGCTAGAAGGCCTATGTAGTTCCCATGATGATGAATTGAGGAAGACTAATCTGGATTTGAAGTAGACGATAGCTGAGCTATCTAGTCAAGTTGAAGCCTCGCAAGTTAGGGAAAGGAGGAGGGACATAGATTTTGCGGGTCTTAAGGCTCAATTTGATGCATTACTTGCTTCGGGAGGGATTCCCCCTTGTCCCAGTGATGTCCCTGACCCTCTCAATCTCAACCTCCAGCATATGGTCAACAAAGAGATTTGATCGAGGAGTCTAGTAGTGAGGAAGATGACGAGGAAGATGTGCAAAACTCACTGCCGCATTATTGAAGATTAGAGTTGTATTAGATGTAGTCTAAAGTTGTTACTTTAAGGTTGTTTTATGAGACTTATTATGTTTTTTAATGTTAGATATCTTTGAAATCCTAATATATAACTTTGACTTTTATGTTTTATTCTTTCGAATTTGAATTACTTTAAGTTATGTCATAATATTTAGTAAATGTATTTTGTTGTATTGATCGATTGTTGGCAGCTCTTTGAGCTTGATTTGGCTGATTAGAATATATATTGAATTAAAATGACAGGTGGGCAGCTGCAAAAGCAGTAATAAGCTGCCAATTTTTTTCTAGAAAAGAGTCCTCATTAGGTCTCTTTACTGCATTTTATTTTTCAGAAATTGCTAAGGGGAGACCTCATGAGGTCTCTTTTCTGCAATTTAATTTTCCAAATAATGTGACAAGGAGGTCGCTTATTTATCTTTTGTGTTTTAATAAAAGAGACCTCTTGAGGTCTCTATTTATGAATGTAAATAAGTAGTATAGAGACCTCATGAAGTCTCTATTTGTAAATATAAAATAAAAATAAATAATATAATAGTGACCTACCGTTGATGTTTCTTTTTTGGTCTCTTTTTTTGGAAAAGAGTCCTCAGGAGGTCTCTTTTTTAGGTCTCTTTTAACAGTATTTTTTAGTAGTGGGACTAACCAGAATTTGAAATTTGTTATATTGAGTCACAATTGATTTTGTTATCTTATTTTTTGATATATTATGTATGATGGCCTAATGTATTACTTGCTGCTTATTTATCGCTTTGATATTGTTGAATATTCTTAAATTGTATTCTTTTGCGCAACCACTATGAGTCTCTAAAAGTACTTCACACACGGTCACATGAATGCAGCTATGCATGCTACTTTCCATTAAGATAAAGCCAGAGTGTTTTGGCAACTAGTGAAGGAATAATAGTCACACATGTTAGGTGGGGTTGGACCAACAATGAAGTCAGAATAGCGCTACAACCTATAAGTTGCCCCTCCCTGACTCGAGTTGACACTCAGGTAAGCCAGTCTAGACACCTTTTGTAATGCCCTGAGCCGACACCCTGGACGTGGCTAGAAATCCATAACACTTTTTGGTCCCCAAGTGAACCCTTGCTAGTCCCCAAGTGAACCCTTGTCCTAACTGACTACTAAGAAGAAGACTAACTCAATAATACACAAGCATCAAAACCGAAGAAAACATTTAAAATAATTTATTGAATCTCAAAACTATCTGAAAAAAATACCTAGTATGATATAAAATCTTAACTAAAACATCTGAAACTGAATGTTGTAAGACTGGCCAAGACTGTCTATCTATGAAGGCTCTACTGTATAAATATAAGTGCTGGTAAAAGACCCATAGAACCTCCAAATGCTACTACTAACAAGTCATAAAACTAAGGTCCTCTGAAAGAAATGAGGCCTCACAAAAGCTGAAGAACAAATGATGTGATCTTAACGGAACTCATGTTGATGATTCTAAATACCTGAATATGCATTGTGAAATGATACATAGTGAATGACATCAGTACATTGAATATACGAGTATGTAATATTCTGAATAAAATAAATAACTGAACTAAAAGACTGAAAGTAACTCAACTGAAATATAGTATAAATCATGATGAAAAATCATTTAAGCTCTTACTGTAAGGATGCAATAATAGCAAACCAACAACCATTATGATGAGCCTAGCAATGAGACAACGTTTAATCCACATTGCAAGGGTCATCCTATAATTTGTCGGGGTATAGAATGCTAACTATAACAATGGATTTATCCAATAAGCCTTCTTAAGGCAGTGAAGAGGAGCTCGAAAAGTCGTCACAGTCCTATCCTACACTTGCTACGTAGTTTTATGAGACTTTAAGTTAAAAATGAACTCTTACCCAATTTGGTGCTCGATACTACTCCTAAAACAATCAATATTAATTATGCTCAATTACCCTTTACAAAGAAATAGACTATTTCTTTACTTTACTTTCACTTTTCTTTAATAAAGTACTTTTCAGAAAATCAATTATACTCTTTCTCTTTCTTAACTATCAAATAGTACATATGAAACCATTCTATTCTTTCTTAAAAGTCTCTTTCAAAACATGCATTTAAAACGTATACTCATGGACTTATATTTCAAATCTGAAATTAATGTATAAGAAATCTCATTTACAAATCTCCATAAACATGACTTTTATAAACAATTGGGTTCATGTGATACGAAACATGAACAACAAATTTTATAAGTTAACATGCATAATAGAAAACAAAATTTCAATGGTTAAGGAATTTAAACTTATAATAAGAAACACAACTAAATTTGGATCTCAAGAGACTACGAATAAAACTATCTATCTATCTGAATAAAGGGTGAGATCAAGCTCAAATCTGTGAGTCAAAGCTCATGCCTTTCTAAAATATATCTTTCAAAGTAATGTATGTAACTTAAATCATGAGAAAGTTTTCTAACTTGCATAGCTCATAAGTATTCGAAAATAATTTTTCATCATAGCATAAAGACTCTAAAATCATGCTTTGAAATATACGTTTCATAAAATCATAACAATGTCATGCCAATAACTCACAAGAACAACAATGTAAACCTTACTAAGTATAAAAAGAAAGTACATCAGTCAAGAATCTTTTATTTTGAATAAGTAATTTAAGAAATCATACAATTCGAGTCATAATTATGGATGAATTCAAAAGTGGGCTTGATAACCCTAAATATGGAATTTAATTCATGAACATTGATAAATCTTGGATATGAGGATGAAAGAACTTCCTCATTAAAGTATCATGTACCTTAATCGCTCCAATTACCGAAGAAAAGTATGATCTTGGAAGAAAAAGACCTACAAAACCTTTATTGAACTTTGGAGATGAGTTCTTGAGGAGCTTTCTTGAAAAAATCTTTGAATTTCACGAGTAGGAGTTATTAATTCTCATTAAGGTGAAGGAATTATGAAGTTCTATGGTCAAATCTTACCCTGGATGATGGATGAACCTTGGACAAAGTTAGTTTCTTGAAAACTTTTCTTTCTTGGATAAATTTATGAACTAGGAGGTGAACTATATATTTGGAGGGTCATTAAAGGCCTCAGACGCTCGCGCGCCCGCTTGGAGAATGCCTCAGGCGCGTAGCAAACCGTGCAGGAAGGTAGTAGACGGTGCCTCGCTGCGCGCCTCCGCTGAAAATGCCTCAACCGCGATGCCGGTGTGTGGAAAGATGGTTTCTAGTAAAATAGGCATAATTTTTTTTATGTAGAACTCCAATTGATGCAAACTTTGTGGAGTTGGAAAGAACACTCATAGACCTTTAATTTAATAGGTTATGGTCCTTGTAATTCTTTATTTAATAAAAGATATGGTCATTTGAATTTTACCTAAATAGAATCTTGTATCAAAACTTAATCAGTAAGGAAGCTTTCAACTTAGCATTGTGCTAGGGTAGTTCATATCCAAAACTATTCCCACACTAACTAGTTGAGCTTAACACCTAAGAACAATTTAATAATAACCCGATACGATCTTATACACCAATAAAGAATGATTTAGGTTTATCTAAGAAATTATCGTGGTGTTACAATATCTCCCCCTTGGGATCATTAGTCCTCGAATAACGATAAACTGAGCATGGAAGGGAAATGAATTACTCTTACAATGATTTTTACTTATGAACTTGCCTACTAGCTGTCAAGACACAGGGGTACCCTCTAGATGTAACAAGGCACATAGAACCCCGAAAGACTCCATGTAAGCCACTTAGCATATCAAATCATAAGATAATAGAAAAGTGCAGAAATTTAAAACATTTGCAATACAATCGAAGTCTCATAAAATGAAGCGGAAGTCTATTGCACTTGTCTCAAACAATCTAATGCTTGAAAAGAGTTAGGGGCACAACCCATACAAAATCTAAACATAAAATAAAGACATAAAAGAAAGGGTGATCAAGTCCTCAATGCTATGAGGACTCACCAAAACTTCTCTTTTCGGTCTACTATGAACCTAGCCACGAGGATGGAAGTCAATATTGCTGAACCTTACATTTGATAAGAATGTAGGCAGAAGTATGAGTTAGTACAATAATGTACTAAATATGATGGCTATCATAAATCATCAACGTAAGCATATAAGAGGCATTAGTCAACATAAGACATATACTATAATCATAAGAGATAACAACATAGTCATAGGCATAATCAATACATCTAATTTAACATTTAATAAAAAAAACACTTCATAAGCCACCACAAGGCACACTTGTGCAATGCATGGATATGATCCCATAATCCCACCCATGCTAAGCAAGTCACTTTAGGTCATCATGCATAATTATCATCCTTTGTTCTCATCCTTAACTTTTTTCTCGTAGACAAGGGAACATTCACCTTTAGTCACACATGTATTGGAAAACAATTATAGCAACAACCAAACTAGGCATACATCATAAGCATAAGTCTTAAGCACATAGATCATCATAACATAAGGGAACATACCATATTTACCCTAAAACCGTACTTGTGCAATGCCTGGATAAGACCCCATAAATCTCACCCATGCTAAGTAAAGCTTCTTGAGTGACCATAATTCATAATTCATCTTCTTGTTCATACTAGAATAGTGGGATAAGCCTTAACCGATATATACCATGTGAGCTTAACATGGAATCCAATGTCTACCCAACATCGAAAAGGGGTTGTCCTACTTGCCTATGGTAGAACCATACTCTTAGCTTAGGTGGATCCAATAGCTAAGTAACCTACGGGGACACATAGTTTTTGGGATAAGGGGATTGCTACTAGAAACCCAGCTTCTACTATCGTGAGGGCTTCCTTCCCAAGATTTTGCTCCTAGAAACCCGGTCTCTACTAATGTGAGGGTTTCCATCTCATATTAATATCCACTCGGTGCTACGCATTAATCCCTCAGAGTTCATATTAAGTCTTGACTTAAATTCATATTCATGGAAGAATGTCTTGACACTCAATCCAACATAATTCATAAGATAGTTCATTAGATCATGCTTGAGAATAACCTTTCATCGTCCATGTCTTCA